CGGGTCAGTGCCCAGCCCGAGCGGGGGGACGTGGACCCCCACACCGGCGCACTGACCTCGGCGTTAACGCCCGGGCCCTGCGTATGGGCGCGTCAGGCGATAGTGCAGCAGCCTGGACACGTGCTCCTGGGCACTGTCAGCAGCGACCGACCATCGTTAGGGTTCCCAGTGGGCTCCTCCACCTTTGGCAGGTGTCTGCAGGAGGAATGGGGATGTTGTTCTGCTTTGACTGCTGAGCAGCAGTGCTCCGGGGTGGGTGTGTGGGCGGTGGCAGTTCACAGGCTCCCCTCACCCTGCCAGGGTTCGATCCTTGGACCTGGTGAAGACACCCAGGAGGGGACCAACCTGCACAGAACTTGCTGCTAGTTACACCCAACTCACAGGACTGGGTGGGTTTTTGTACCGGGTTGCAGCATCCTGAGATGCTTTTAGCATGTGCCAGGTGCTCACAGTCCTGACGACGGGTGCAGAGTGATGCCTGAGGATGTGGCCTAGAAACCTCCACGGTGACCGCCCCGCACAGGGGAAGTTTCCTCTCAGTGTTCGTGTTCGGTGGCCAGATACGGTGACGGGATGGTCATGGTGTGCGCGGAGCAAAGCGTCTGATCCTGTCGTCAGCCGTGGCCTCGTGTGTTTGAAAATGCCCCTGAGACAGAGCCGTGTCACCTCTGTGCTGTGAAAGTGTAAATCTTAAATTAATTCAGACAGCGGAGTCTCGTCTGCTCGTCTGCTCGGAAGGGATCAAAGTGGCTTTTCAGAAATCCTGCTCTTAGCATTTTGCAGGGTACCTCTTGTTTTCCTGAAGGCGTGAGGAGAGACAGTCCTTTTCCATGACAGCTTCTAGAGATTTGACTTTTATTTCCTCTCACATTTTACTGGAAGCAAAACCCCTTTGAATATATTCCTGGGGCAAGCGATGTCCACAAGTCCATCTGCAGACAGGAGACCAGCTAGCAGTGCCTGCTAAGCGCTCCTTCTGCCTCTGGAAGCCCGAAGCAAGTCTCCCGTGTAGATCAGAAACCCGACCGTTGAAAATTTGTTCGGAAGCAGTGAAACATTTCAATGTGGGAAAAATGATTCAGTGAAATGTTCTGATGAGCTCAGTGCATCACCAGCCCAGACGTGGCTACAAACCACCACCTCTGGCTGCGCAAGCATGACATGGAAGTGGCAAACGCTCCAGAACACTCCGCTTCCGTTCATTCATTGTATGTACAATCTGTATCCTAGACGTGAACTTAAAAGTGGGTTTCTGTGACTTACTCAGCACACTTCTGTCTCATTCTGCTCACAATTCACGATTTCTCTCAAATGTGATCAAATTATTTTGACAAGTGTCTCGGCTTGTGCTTCTGGTGAGGATTCCTACCCTCTCTTAAATTGTGATTTGCTACGTGGTGCTGTTTCTGTTCCTTGTGGAAGAGCAGAAACATCCTTCCCTCAGCGCTGCCCATGGTCCACCAGCCTCAAAACAGGGATCCCCCCCACCCAGAAGCAGGCTGAGAGGATGCCTTTGGCCGTGGGGGAGAGTGGGGCTGTGGTGGGACATCGCCCTCCCTGCCCCACGCCCTCGACACCCCGGAGTAGTTTGATGGGGGCAGCAGGTCTCAGGGGACAGGTGTGGGGGTGGATGGTTGTGTGGTGGGCTGCAGGACTCCAAACTGCGGGAGAGCAGATGCCTCCTTCTGCGTCTCGGGGAACAGCTTGCTTGAAGGCTGGAGTTTCCAGATGGAGGTGGATGGGGAAGGTCAGGGATTACATGAAAGTTAGCCGCTTTCCTGAGGAGTCCCGTTGCTTCCTGCGGGCTGGTGGCAGCTGTAAATAAGCCATTGTTTGATGTGGGTGTTCGTCCAGATTCGGACTGTTGCAATTCCTCAGATGAATATCTGCCTCTGAATTCCTGGAACAGATAGGGTGAATTTGGCTAACTTGTCCTAATGTTACTTGTTTTATTTTCTGATGAGTTATTTTCATGGTGCGAGCTTGTTCCAGCCCTACTGAAGTTACTGATCATCTGCCCATTAGTCTCCTTGGCCTTTGGAGCACATCATAGTTTAAAAGGAATTAACAGACCGTGTCATCTGGAAGTGAGACTTGAGATCTATTAGTGATACTGGGCTGTAACCAAGTGTAGAGTTTCTTGGTGGTTTGTGTTAGTGAATCTGTCAAGATGATGTGAAGGGTGACGGACCACAACGATTGATTCAGAAGTGGGGAAATTCAGGATCAGGCATCAGGCCTGATCTCCTCCTCTTGTGGAATAAATGTTGAAAAATACTCCGTGTGTCTGGAAAATACCCTGGACATGTGCTTGGGTACTGTCTAGCTAGTGATAGATCTCTATACATCACCGCCAGCGTACTGCCACTGTAAACAGCCGTATGCCACCAGGAACGTGGTGAAGAGTGAAGTCATCCACAGCTGGGCTGGGGTGAACAGCTGGAGCAGCAAAGGGACAGGGAAACCATAGCTGTGTGCTGTTTTTAATCCCGATGCCAAAGCCAGGGCGTTGCTGTAGAATAACTAAGATCGCTGCTTGTGTTGAAAGAGGCTTTCAGAGAACCAGGTGCACCCCGGTACTCGAGCTGTGGCCTCCTCTCACTGAACGTGAAAGCTCCAGGGACACCAATAGGCTGAGCTCCCGTCCAGCCCTGCCTTCACGCTGCCTTTCTGACTCGTTTAATTTTGTTGTCTAAGGCCAAATTTTCAGCCATAACCACTGCATTGGCAACTACTGTGGCTCTTACTGTCCCTGGCACACCTCACGTAACCGAGCCGAGTGCCGTTATCCAATCTGCCCGTCTAATTTCAGTGTTTTGTGTCACACGCAATCTCCTTTTCACCACATTAATTGCTGCTCATTTGAAGGCGTAATAACCTTCATTTTGCAATGAATGGCTTGACATTCCAGGAGGAAAGCTTATTGTACACTAATGATCTGTTATATGGCCTCTCAGTTTATTATGGTACGTAACGGAAAATAAAATAAAAATTAAGTATTGTGTGTACTTATCAGCTAATTTAAGTACTTCAGTATCTCTGATGTTATGTATTTTCAGCTATTGAATAGTGCTGTAATCTGCATGGAGAAATAGCTCCCTATAGATTTAGAAACAGCTCCCTATTTTTTTTTTTTTTTAATTAAGCTGGTTTTGCTTGGAAGAAATGCCATCTAGGAATTAAAAAATGCAGAATTTATTCAAGAAGGATAGTTTGTCTTCCTACCCTTCTTGCCTCAGTTATTTATCTGCCCTGTGAAAATAATTGAGCCTCCACCGAGTCATGTTACATTATTTGGAGAGCACTTTTGAAATGCATGTCGGGAAGATGCACTACAACTGGAAAATAGCGTGTGCTTATTACAAGGAAAAGCCCTTGCAAAGCAGAACCGAGTCACTTTGGTCAGTTTATAATTTACAGACACTTTTACTGGATTGCAGTGGCTTTTTACATAAAGAAAACGTGCCTGTAGGGGTTCCTGTGGAGAACACAATGAACTGTGTGAACTTAATTCAGTCCTTAGGTAGATTTCCAAGGCTGCAACCTTCCATAAACGAGGATTGAGCTGCAGCCTCTGCCAGTGGTCCTTGCCTGGATTATGGCCATTTGATGCTCACTGTCTGAAAGCCTGCAGCCTCAGTATCCCCCGCAGATCTTGGTGACCCATGTCATGATCATGAGATTCATTTCACCCCTTCAGGTATATAACCTGTCTGTAGGCACAGATCCACCAGCAAAGGCTGCTGGACCCGACCACGGATGGTGGATGCAGTGATAGCATCCCAGGGCTGGGTGCACTGCGTGGTATGAAGGGTGGGTCTGCTTCTCCTCTCCTCCTGCACTTTCTCATCCTGCTCCTTCCCACCTGTAGATTGTGTCTGTGTTTGAAGTACGTGCCTGGATTATCAGATGAGGTGTGGAAGTCGCAGGCTTTCGCCCCACCAACCTTTTGCTTTCCCTCCTCAGCCTGGAGATGTAGGACCTGAATCTTCTCAGCTAACTCCTTGGTTTTGCTGCTGTGCTGTGATGAATCTGCTCATTATTTCATAGATAGAGTCAGAGCATCCGAGACAGAAAAGTCTCTTTTTCCCTGGTACAGTCTACTAGGGTGATGTAGCAAGATATGTGTCAGTGCTGGTTTTCTTGAGTTAGTACTTCGTCTGGGATAGATGAGTAATAGCATGAGGGAGCCAGCTTTCACCAGGCATATGGAAGATCATTCCTGTGAATGGTGAGATAAACCCCCTTTCTAAGACCTTTTCCTCTGTTACTATAACTTCAGAGTAAAGCACAACATATGTTGTAATTGAGGTGAAATTTCTCCAATAAGTATTGCTGCTCAGCTGTTTCAGATATGGTCCAAGAAATGGCTTGAGACTTTTTCTCTCTCCCTCTAGGAGTGCTCTCCATATGCAGCTCACTTGTACGACGCTGAGGATCCCTCCACCCCCGTCCGGACGATACCAGGGCTTTGCCAAGACTACTGCCTGCAAGTGTGGCGAGAATGCCGCTCCATTTTTCGATATCTCTCTGCAGACCAAGAGTTAATTGCACTGGAGAACAACATGGCGAAATTCTGCCGCTACCTGTCCTTGGAGGACACAGACTACTGTTTTCCACACCTGCTGGCTAACCAAAACCTTAACCAAAACCTGGGGCTAGTGACTGCCGATGCAGAGGGCTGTCTCCAGCTCTGCCTCATGGAGGTGGCCAACGGGCTGCACAATCCCGTAGCGATGGTGCACGCCAACGATGGCACCCACAGGTTCTTCGTTGCGGAGCAGGTTGGCCTGGTGTGGACCTACCTCCCCGATCGATCCAGGCTTGAAAAGCCATTTCTGAACATCAGCGAAGCTGTACTTACCTCACCTTGGGAAGGAGACGAGAGAGGTTTTCTAGGTATTGTCTTCCATCCTAAATTCAAATTTAATGGTAAAGTGTATGTCTACTATTCAGTTGAAGTTCGTTATGAAGAGAGAATCCGAATCAGTGAGTTCAGAATTTCTCCTGCTGACATGAATGCTTTGGACCATGGTTCTGAAAGGTATTGTACACACGTTTCTCTGGCAAATGTTTTTAAGATCTCAGAGGGCAGCTTGTGCATTTTTAAATGCTCTATGAATGACACTTACTTAGCTTAATATTGTTCTTGCATTCCAGTGGGGTAGCTAGTTAGTCCATGTCTATGTCTGGCTTACTGAGACCGAGAAAATGCCTGTCCTCTGTGGATGACCTGTGAGTCCTCAGGGATAAAACATTTACATTTCTTAGTTCTGGTATGTCAGAAGATTTAACTGAACATTGATTAAACATTATTTACAGTTAGTATTTTGGTGTCTGGTTTTTGGTTGGGTATTTTTTGGCATAGTAATTACTACCCTTTAAAATAGACTTCTGCAGAGCATGACTGAAATTCATTCCAAAGCCAAAGGTTTCCAAAATCAGTATAAACACAGTGATACCAGACCAAAGATGGATCTTGCCCCAGATTTCTTTATCTGAATGACAGCTCAACTCTGTGATACTACAGAATTAATGACAAATTAAATAAAGTGCAAGCCACTATGCTATTACTGAGTGCATTTTGATTGGAGATTTTGTTTGTTTGAGTCTGGTCCTGCAGCTGATCCACATTAATATGCCCAGATAATGAGAGGTTTGTTTGTGGAGTCAGTCTATAGATTTATAACCTGTTGCAGAACAACGTAATAGGACCACTGCTTTAGTAGACCCTTGAATATTAATGTTAAGATTTTTGCTTTGTTACCTGGGTTATATTGGGGGCTTTCCCTTTATCAGCAGCAGATGATTCTAGCTCAGAAATGCACATAGCCTGATGATAGAAAGGGGATGCTGGTTCATAAAGCGAGGACAGCAGTTCAGTGTGAGCAGCACGCAGATGGCAGGTAAAGGGAATTTAAACGCGGTCCTCAGGGAAGCAAGTCGGGAGCTTAAACCCACCGATGTCAGGGCCCGTGAGCTGTCCTGTTTAGAAATCCTCAGGCTCTACGTTTGCAACGTTTTGTGTGCTGATGCAGCTGATGGTTAGTACGGCGAAAGCTTCTGAAAACAAATTTGCGGTCCTGCTGTGCTTGTGTAGGCACGGCTCCCGCTGATTCACCCCGAGATGCTGCCCGGGAGGGAGCGCAGGCCGACGTGTGGTGCGCGTTGCCTCGGCAGGAAGACGGGCATCTGTCTGCCTGCGGGTTTTCGCTCCGTGTCTTGTGTTTCCTTCCATCTTCTTTGGGAGGTTGAGGAGGATTCACCTGTGTGTCCGCACCGGATCCTGCTGCTGGCTGGAGTCTGGGCGCTCGTGCCCAGTTACCTTATCTCAGAGGGGGTGCCATTTAGCAGCAAGTGACAAGATAAATTACATAGTTGGGTTCCTTCCCACAGTTTACAATCCCATCGTGAACCACCAGTAATTTCAGAAGAGAAAAAAATATGCTAAAAATGAGGTGGTATAAGTGATTACTGTCAGGATTTGCAGCTATTAAAAGGCACTGTCAGTGTGAAATCTGGACTTTTTTAGAAGCTGGAGTAAAATAAACTTCAGTTATTGTACCTGGGAATCTCCACTGCATGTATTTGTGGCTTTACCTTTCTATAAAGTTATACTTTTATATGTTTCACCCTTTTCTTACTACGAAAGGGATGCCAGATGCATAAAATAAATAGATAAAACTAAGAGAGAGTTAGGTTTTCAAATTAGGGTAAAGGTTGTTGGTACGATTTAGAATAACCTTTGTCAAAATGTTAGTTTGTTGGTGGGGCTACTTTTAACCACTCTTTAAGCTCATAAAGTCCTGTGTATGTAATTAGCATTTAAGGGTTCTTCTGTCTTTGAGAATTTAACTATTGCTTAACGTTTGAAAAGTTTTGTTTGCCTTGAAAGCACCCATCAGGATTATGCCAAACGCTGTACAGATGCACAGATGGACTGGAGTCTTTTCTCTTGCCATTTGCAAGCAGATTTAAGCTGAGATGCCTTTTCTTAAAAAAAAACAAAAAAAAGTTTAACAAGGAGGAAGGAAGAATCAGAGGAAAAGTATAATTAATTAAAACTATGTTCTGTCATGTGATTTCCCAGATTTTGCTAATTTGGTGTTTCTGTAATCTGGAAAATATGTTGGAATTACCTAAGGTTGGAAAATCAGTTATGCCCAAGCAAAACTGAGTAACGTGGATGTGGATGAATTTGCATCAACACTGATCTGTAGCCATTTCCATGTGTCAAGGGCAACACCGGCGTGACGTTGCTCTGCCCTTTGCTTTGGGCTCGTGCAGCAGGTAATGTCTCCTCCCCGGTTTTGCTTAGGATAATCCTGGAAGTAGAAGAACCCGCTTCCAACCATAACGGAGGAGAGCTGCTCTTTGGAGACGATGGGTATCTCTATATATTTACTGGAGATGGAGGCATGGCTGGGGATCCTTTTGGGACCTTTGGAAACGCCCAGAACAAGTGAGAGCCCCTAAAACCTTGTGTGCACCGCGTGTCCCTCCTGTTGCCCTTGGGTTGAGAAGAGAAATGGGGGGAGGTGAATCAGAGGGAATTTTCTGTCCTCAGGTTCACTTTTTTCCGAACGCTGGCACTGACACTGACACACGTGGGCATACAGACCTCCTGTGTAACTGCGGTTTCCTGAGGGGAGGTTACCGAGGTGCGTCTTTTGTCCCTGTGGGCAGCGATAGTTTGCTGGGCTTTCCAGCTGTCTGCTCGGAGCCCAGTTTTCTACAAGCAGAGGGGGAATCAGCGGTGTGGGAAGAGTGGACCCATCTGTATGGCAGCTCCAAGCCACCGGTGTGCGTCCATGGGGCAGTGGGTCGTGGAAACAAGTGAAGGCTGTTGGGTGGCCTGGGACAAATCAAATGTGCTTGAAATAGTTGGTTTTTTCAGAGATACTGAAGGCTTTGTTTTTTCCAAACCAGAAAGAAAGAAACCCAAGACTTTAAAAGAAAAACATCTCTGATGTTTAACCGAGGTCTAGTTTTATTTCTTTATTTTTTTTTGTTTCCTTTCTTCTCCAAATACAGATCAACCCTGCTGGGCAAAGTGCTGCGGATCGATGTGAACAACAACGACCGCGGGCCTCTGTACCAAATCCCTCCCGACAACCCATTTGTCAACGACCCTAAGGCTCGCCCTGAAATCTATGCGTACGGAGTGAGAAACATGTGGCGCTGCTCTTTCGATAGGGGCGAGCCTCAAACCAAGGAAGGGAAAGGGCGGCTCTTCTGCGGAGACGTGGGGCAAAATAAATATGAAGAAATCGATATCGTTGAGAAAGGGAAAAATTATGGCTGGAGGGCAAGGGAAGGATTCAGCTGCTACGATAAAAAACTTTGCGCCAATTCTTCGATGGGTAAATAGATGTTCTCTCTACATTACCTAAGTCTCATGCCATGCAGTCTTCTGTGCCGTCATTTTTAATTCCTGCCTTCAAAGCCTGGCTGCTTGGTGGAAAGCACACATGTCCGAGATGCAAATTTAAGCGGTCTCAGTCTAGAAGGGAGCTGACTTGGGGATAAATATTGAAAGTCCAAATGTTACCGGTTTTGAGTTAGGAGGAAAACGAAATGTGCTAGCTGTGTTTTTCTAGGTGATCTGTATTGTTAGTCAAATTGCCCAGTGATTCTGTGGTTTGGGGGGACAATTTCATCTTTTCTGCATAAAATAAGCTTTCCTGCAGAAGCGAGAGAAGTTTGGAGCAATTTTATTTTTCTCCATAAATCACAAGCAGTGTCCTTACTTTAAAAAAAGGAAGAAACATATTGCGTAAGCTGGCTGACCAGTATGGAGACTGCCTGCTTTACAAGTAATGGAACGTACTGTGTGGTTTTGTTTCTTTTAGCTATGCCAAAAAGGAAAACCTTAATTTTTTTTTTTTTTTTTTTTTTTACTTTTTTTTTTTTTTTTTTTTTTTTTTGTTAACTTTTCAAACCTGGATTCTGGGTATTTGCTGTCTGGCTAAATTCCAGTGCGTGTGTGAAGTCAGAGTGTGTTGTGTTGCAGGGTCTGATGCGGACCACGTCTTGTGCTGGAGCATCTCCCCAGAGACCCAGGGGGGCAGGGGGCTGGCACTGATTTCCACTAGCTGAGATTCTGATTTTTCTTCTCTTCTATATGCTATGTGTTGTTGTTTAACGTTCTTGCTTTTATTAACTTAGCTACAAGTACAGTGGTAGTGATTAAGTGCTTTTTATAAAAATTTTGAGAGCAGGGAGCAGTTTTTTTGCATTCCCTTTGCTGAAGCAGTTGTCAGAGAGCTCGTTTAGTACTTTCCTGTGTGACAGTGCCTGAGTGAGCATTCATAGCAAACACTTTACTGAGGTCTCCAGGGATTTGGAACAATTTCTGATGCCTTTAGAGACCCTTTTGTTAGAACAGTGAAATGTCACAACCCCTTTAAAATGAGAAGTGCAGCTGAAGTGTGGAGAGCACCTGCTTTAGATGCCCTTGGTGCAAGTTCCTTGCTGGCGGAGCTGCTGGCTTTGTGATTTGAGACATCTGGTACATGGGCAGGGAGAAAGACTGTGAGGTAGAGGAGGGGTGGGTACCATGAAGAGATACCTGTAACTCAAGAGTTTTGAAAGAAAGGAGAGGAAGCATCCAGTGGAGACCTTCAAAATAAGGGTATTTTACCTCCATTTTCTTCTGTCTTGTGTTTTAACTTGCATTTTACAATGGATGTGCCAGAACTGCATCTTGCCTGTGCCATACAATAAATATTTGATGGGCCTTTCAGGTTAAGCTCCCCTGTCTCAGAGAAACAGAAGCTATTCGCGCTGACATCCGACATATCTTTTCATCAGTGCCTGCAGTCTGGAGTTACCCATCTCTTTTTTCTCTTTCACCGCTGAAACAAAGCTGCATTGAGCAAACACCTCCTGCACGGGTGCAGTGACGCTAAGAGTAACCTGAAAATTCATAGCAAAACCAGCCAGGCTGCGTAGCGATGGGCCAGAAGCAGCATGAACAGAGCTGGGTTGTAGCGAGAGAAGGGCTCGGGAGAACGGTGAGGTGTCTGGGTGACAGAGAGCAGGGATTCAGCTTATGCTGCAAGGGAAACAGCGACCAGCCTCCCTGAGCTAGCTGGTCCTTAGTCAGCACAGCCAGCTAGACCGGGCTATCAAATGTGGGGCTGAAAAGGTGAAAACCGAACTAAAAATGACTCCGTTGGCAGTTCATGTAATTAGAAGGTGCTCAAGTGAACCTGATTGTATCATACTGGTCTCAGAACTGTCTAGATAAACAGCTCTTCTGCGTCGTGTGTAAAACAAAGCGAGTGACAGATCTCTCCTCCTCTACAGACGATGTGCTTCCAATTTACGCGTATCCACACCAAATGGGGAAATCCGTCACGGGAGGCTATGTCTATCGGGGTTGTGAGTCCCCAAACTTGAATGGCCTGTACATATTTGGTGATTTTATGAGTGGGTAAGTAATACTTCAGATACTCACTAAGCTGTGCCCCCAGCCAAGGCCCTCCAGCAGTACTGCGCCTGCCTGTGAGTGCTCGTGCAGTCCAGCCGCTGAGGACAGGCTGCTGCTTGCTGGTTGCAAGCACCGGGCAGAGCCTGACTGCTCATTGCAGAGGGCTCTCGTGGCGTGTTTTAGATAACCTTTATTCCATGGTGCTGTGCAGGAGGGTGATCTTTGCATTCCAGCAGCCATCGATATTGCTGATTCACATCGTGCCAATACAAATAAAGGGGCAATGACATGATGTTTGTTTAAAGTCCTGGAAGTGGTGTAAAAAAGCATTTGAATGCATCCTAAAAAACCCCTCTGATGCAACATTTCCAGACACCGAAGATATTAAAAGAAAAAACAAAGTTATCTGGCAGTGAGTTGCTGCAAACCTGTGATGAGGCAGCCTGAGACTGCTTTGTTTTGCCCCCACCTCCTCTGCCTTTGCTGTGTCTGCATCTCCCAGCCCTCTGGCACGCAGTCCCGCAGCACCTGCCCTGGCAGAGGCAACGGCCGGCCGCCTTTGGAGATCCCGGGCTCAGGAGAGAGCCCGCAGACCTGCAGTGAAGCCAAGCGCTCTGCGTCGCTGTCAGGGTCCCCCCTAGACAGGCTGACATCCCCTAAGCCCTCCAGTATAACTTTTTGTGTGCTTGTGTTGCCCTTGAAAGACAAGGTGTTGCAGGAGTGTATGATAGATATGTTTTAATATTAACAGTCTTTCATTTCTCGGAGGAGCTACAGTTCCTGTAGTAGCTAATGCGGGTAGGAAGCATTAAACATCCTTTCAGGTGTCTTGATTAATGTTCATAAATCGACTCCTGGGTTGCTTGGTGTGAGTGTGCTTTTGCCTTGCAGACGCCTGATGTCTCTGAAGGAGGATCGTGCTACCGGAGAGTGGCAGTACAGTGAAATCTGCATGGGGACGGGACAAACATGCATGTTCCCTGGGCTTATCAATAACTATTATCAATACATCATCTCCTTTGCTGAAGATGAAGCAGGTAATTTTTTAACTTTATACCACACTGAATGGCATGTTTGTCGTTTCTCTTCAGAATAAAACAGCTGAGAATGGGTCAGAGAGGGCTCCTGGGAGGCAGAGCACGAGTCTGTCAGTCTTTAAAATACCAGTGGGAGAGACCCCCAGCAACTCCCGAATATCAAACCAGAGTTACAGTCCTAACTCTGGGGCCAGTGTGCCACGCAGTGACCGCGGGGGGAATTGGAGAGGCAGTTCCCTGCAGGGCTGAGCCTGGGTGTGCTGGGCGTGCTGCTGCCCGCACACCGACCCTCCGGAGGGATGGGGAACAGCCGTGGGGGGCAAATGCAATAAAGCACAGCTTAGAAAAGAAACCTCATTCTTCACGGTGCTGTGCCACGGGGAACGCAGGCCCTTAGAGGCTGAGAAGCTGATACCCAAGTGAGAGCGAGTCTATGCTCTTGGCTAGTCGAGAAGGCTGTTGACATTATTAATGGATACAGGAAAGGAGAGGTAATGAACAGGAATTTTGAACCTGCTCTCCCTGGCCTGGAATACTTGTACCTCTCGAGGTGAAGCAGAATGAAAGCTCTGCGTTATATCTCAAGTGAGGCATCAGCAAGAGGCTGCTGAATTCTGTGTTTTATTAGTGCCAGCTGGGATTTTGCCTCACATAAGACTGAAGGATGCAGTCTCAGGGGAGCTTTGCATAGCTGTATTTTTAAGACTGGAGACATTTTGCTTTCTAGGAGACAGCTGCTGCGATTTGAGAAGGAGAAAATAAAGAGTCCTGGGGAGAAAGCTGGTGGTTGCTCCCTTTGTTCATAAAAGGGTATAGTTAATTGCCCAACCCCGCAGCGGGGCAGGCAGAGCCTGCAGCTCCTGGCTGGGGACGGGGAGAGGATGACCCACGCAGTGTTTAGCCCTGTTGCTAAGAGCCTTGTGCGTGACTCGGCAGTGCAGGAGTTTGTGTTCTGCTCCGTTGCAGGGAGTCCTGGCTGGTGGTCACAAGCACCTGCTTCCAGAATGCCCCAGTTTTTAAACTTCTGTTTCTCCTGCAGGTTATGCCAGGTATGGATGTGGCACAAATGCAACAGGTGTTGTGTATCCTATAAATGCAAATTTTGTCATGTAAATACAAATCATCCAGATTAAGTATTAGCTCAAAAGTTTGACTTTGGAATTTTATCCTTTTGGAGTTAAAATCCATTTTTTTTAATGGTTAATGTTCATGGAAGATAGAGCTCTTTTGCAGCACTATGGTGAGAAGGATAGCTTACCCTAAAATCAGAAAAAATTAGTTTAGATCTACTTTATGGCAAGGCAGAGGGCTGCCAAGTGCAGTAGCAAGCGGTTGGCTGAAGCCCTTGTTCATGCGCCTGGGGAGCGGCGTCTCCCTCGTCCTGTGCCCCTGGGCAGAGTCTGTGTAAAGCGGGGTGAAACGCTATCGCCCTTCTTCTGCCCTCTGCTTTCCACCCCTACTTTGCCTACGTGTAATAGTGCTGGGTCAAATTTGGGCTGGAGGCTATCCTCGGAGGTGGTTATTTGCCTTGCGGTTGCTGTATTACAATGGAAAGACATCTGTTAAGAAGTTTAGTGAGTTGTCTTCATCTGCAGTGAACAGTCTTCTCTTGCACCTTTTTGGTGTACTGGGAGTCTGGTTTTTTACAAGTTTATCACACACTTTGTTTTAACAAGCTTTTCTTCATGGAAGCATTTGTTTTTTGGGGTTGTTGCTCTGATGAATGTTAATCCAGCTGGTGCAGTGGATGTGTTTATGTGGTGAGGACACCTACATTTTTCAGTTATTGCACAGCCATTGCAAAGCCAGCAGCCCCGTCCCCTGGCAGCTGAACATGTCGGGGACACCCCAGGCACTGTGCGATGTCTGTGGGGTGCCGTGTGATGCAGCCTGTGTGCGTCATGGCCTGAGCATCCACATTTCTGCCTGATAATTGCTGGGGAAGAGCTTTGGGATGGGAAGCACACATCACTGCCCTGCAGGATGCAGTGCCAGGCGCTTCCCGTCCCTGTTTGGATCAAGGCTGCCTCTGGCCTGTGGTTAATGGAGCCCAGCAGAAAAAGGAAGAAACCAGTCAAGGTGACCAGGCGTGGCTGGTTTCTGCCCTGGAGCATCTGGAGGAGCTGGGACAGGGCAGAACAGGAGAGCAGGGAGGAGGAGGGGAGGCTCAGCAGCCAGCGGAGCTGCCACTGACTGCCCACATCTTCCTTTGCTCGCTCTGACCCCTCTGCCCCTTCCCCTCTTGCCGTTGGGGAGCCCACAGGATGCCCCAAGATATCTGCCTTACTTACTAGAAAGGTCTCTGTTGCCTCTTTTTCCTCCTTTTTTTTTTCTTTTTTTTTTTTTTAAATATTGCAAATTTATTTTTTCATCCAGATCAGCTCTCTGATCCTTTCATTGCACTGCTCAACCACATGAGCTGGCAAAAGAGAAAGGAGCGTGCTGGAGGGACTGCTTATGCCAGCTTCCCCTGCACAACAGAAAGAGAGGGATGGAAATGCACTTAAGAGAAAAAACGTCAAATAAAGGATAATGGACATTGTTTGGCTGAAGATCAAGCCCTGCCCATGTGATCTGACAGAGTTGTGATGAACCTAAATGCCTTTCTCATGAGATGATACATCTCAGTTTGTGAGTGCACTACAGAAAGCAAAAGCAAATTCTTGTTCTTCTGTAATTCACCCCAAAGCAGTTCTTCATCTGAAAGACCAGAAGATAGCATGAACAGTCTCAATTTCCTTTTATTTGTTTCCAACAAAGGGAATTCAGGGTTTGAGTAGTTTACATTGGTGAAGTTAAAGGACACCTATCAGACTGAGATGACAGCTAAAGTCTGGGCAACTGAACCTGCAGTGGAAATTTGTCCAAATAATATTTCATAACAATATGTAAAAGCTCCCGCTCACTAAGTATTTTATGCCACTGGACTGCAGATGAATGCTCATTACAAACCCAAATACAAACCTGCCTTCTGTCCTCTAGCAGCCAGATCTCCATGTTGGTCCCAGGTTTCCTGATGCTTCCTGACCTGTGATGCAGAGTTGATGCCTTTGTACTGTACAGGACAGAAGCGGGATGGAGAGTTTTCATGGCTGTGTTTGTTTTTTTTCCCAGGGGAACTTTACTTCATGTCTACCGGCATACCAAGTGCCACGGCTCCCCATGGAGTGGTATACAAAGTGGTGGACACCTCTAGGTATGAGATGTTCTTGTTGCAAAGCCAAAGTGTGGTGCAGTGTGTCGAGCTGTGGATGTGATAAATGACGCTGACTGACTAACTGGCTCTTCTCCCGTGCTGGGCCCTTCTGTGGAGCTTGGTCAGGGAACGGCTGAAGCAACCTGTGGTGGGTCTGCTCTGCTCCCGCAGTCGTCAGAGTCTGCACTGCCTGGTGACCACCAACTGGTTTGTTATGGGATCTGTTGGAGTTGTGTGGCTTAGAAGATCTGTTCCTGCACGTTTGAGTATTTTATGGGTGGCTTGTCTTTCTCAGGCAAAGTTTCTGTAGATTCCTGCCCAGAAGGAGGCAGTTTTTCCCGAGGTGCTTATTCTCAGATCTTCTCCATCCCTTGTAGCTGGCTGCATCTGCTGCACCCAAGCAGCTGCAGCCGAAGCTGGGGACTGGAACATCTCCCCTACGAGGAGAGGTTGAGGGAACTGGGCTTGTTCAGCCTGAAGAAGAGAAGGCTGCGAGGGGACCTTATAAATGCTTACAAATATCTGAAGGGTGGGTGTCAGGAGAATGGGGCCAGACTCTTTTCAGTGGTGCCCAGAGACAGCACAATGGGCACAAACGGAAGCACAGGAAGTTCCGTCTGAACATGAGGAAGAACTTCTTCCCTCTGAGGGTGACGGAGCACTGGAACAGGCTGCCCAGGGAGGTTGTGGAGTCTCCTCCTCTGGAGATATTCAAGACCTGCCTATTCTGAAGCTGACCCAGCGTGACCTGCAGTGCTTTCTCAGGCAAAGCAGAAATGAACGTCAAAAAGTACATTTTTTTTGGTGTTTTAAAGAGGAGAATGGCTTGGACAAGGAAATAGGACCATTTTTACACCTTCTGGATCCCATGTGCATGTATCTGAGACTGGGCAAGGCAGGGAACAGCCATGTTTTATGGGAAGACTTATAGCTGTTTTTTCTATCTTCCTGTTTTTTAAGCATTACTGTTATTGGCTACACACCAAACTACTTTCAGCCAGGCATGTAGGCTAAGACTTTTGTAGCTTTTATTTTTTTAAACGGATTGTATTTACAGCTTTAGCTATCTGAGCATTTTGAACCAAGCCACTCTTCTGTTTTCTGTTGGAACCAGACTCCAAAGTTAAACAGCCCCCAGAGCTGCCGCTGTTTTCCTCCGACTCTCCTCTGTCAGGAGCATTTTCCATTATCTAACACAGTGGACGAGTTCCTGTAAGCTGTGTGTGAAGAGGCTGGTATTATGCAACCTTTTTCAAAAATAAGGAAAGCAGAAGTCAAAAGAAAGTCATAAGTTTAAGTATAAAAAGAAGTTTCTTTAGTGTGTCAGGTACAGCAATATGACAAAGAAAGAACTCATAGGAAAATTCATAAATATAGGGAAATGTCCCTGTGGCAGTAGTTGAGAGGAGAGCTCTTTGCCTTCCACAGAAATGCAAATGCAAACAGTCATAATTACAAAGGAGTTATACCCTCCAAATGCAAACATCATGCATTTTTGAACCAGTTTGGAAACCTCTGAAGAATGCTGCAGATTAACAAGGCAGCCAGCATAGGAAAAAGTGATGATGAACGGAGTGTAACTTCTCTGAAGCGAGGTATACCTCTATGGCAAACAAGTCTGTGTCAGAATAATGCATCATACTAAGAGGAAGCCTCTGTAGGAGACCCTTAGAGCCCTTGTTTGAAACTAATGCATTTTTGGTACTACTTTTGTAGTAGTTAGTCTTTTGTTTGGGCTTTATCTACGAATAATAGTGTGTTGTTTTGCTTCTTTGAAGACAGGCTGAAAACTTGCGTACACAAGACCTTTATGTCAGATATTCAACATATACTGTCTAGCTTTGTGATTTTTATCTTCAAATTGATTAATCTCTTTCTGTCATGCTTGAACCTGCCAATGTTTTATTTCCTTAATGGATTCAGCAATGGCAAGTGAAAACACAGGCAGCGGACTCCACTGCCTTGTGAATATTTGGACTTTGATCAACAGAGATATGTGATTGTTTAATTATGTTTTTCACTGTAAGAGGTCACTTGGATCATTTGAACAGACATTTGTTTTTTTTCCAATGAGCATTACATTCGCTGAAGAACAATGGCAAGCAAAGGCTGACGATGCCAGGGGAAAGGAATTAATTGTTCGCCGTATGTGTTCCTTTTTTCCACAGGAGAGCGCCACCAGGAAAATGCCGAGTTGAGCCGTCACCAGTGAAAGTAAAAAGCAAGCTCATCCAGTTTGTGCCAAAGGAGAGTAAGTGTCACCCTTGCTGTTCATTACTGGTGCATGTTAGCTGGCAGAACACAAACTCCAGGCTCGCCCTATCTCTGTGTGTGTGTGGAGACCACCCAGAACTTCACTCCTCAGGGTATCCTCAAAATTAGTTCTTACCAGCCATTTTGGGTCTGCAGGGTTGGTTCGAACAGGGCATGATGTATTTCCCCTCTCCTGGCCATGTTAAATCTTCTCGGTAAGTTTTCTCTTTTCCATGCTACTTTGTATCCATTTCATTACCACCAACCTGGTTTCCCTGTAACTGTTTCTGTACTGAGATCCTGTGCTGGATAGTGCTTTCAGTCATAAGTGATTTTTTTCAGGGCCTTCAGGTAGTGAGGAGCACTTCAGGAGCTGAAGGATGTGATGGCTAAAGGGTTGGGAAATAGCTCCTTGAGCAAGACGAGGACTTTTTGGTTGTTAGTTGTAAGAGAGAATATGGGATGAGAAAAGGCTCCCGAAAGAATCAGTGTGATCAGCCATTCAGGTCAACCTTTGGCTGATCCAAACCCTCCAGGGCTTTTTGATTGCTTCATACCGAACAAAGTATTGTACAGCTAAAGCTGGAGTAGTCAACACTGTAGCTGAATCTGCAGCAAGCCAAGTACTATTTATGTTAAGCGCAAAATCCTAAATACACTGTCAGGATCTCAAAACTAGATTAGGCAGCACCACCTTTCTTTCCCCCTGTGCATTTTGCTTACACATGTAAGTACCTAGGCAGTACTCCAACAACTTTGTGATGAAGTTAGTGTTACTGTAGGAACTCTGATGTCAGAATACTCTAATTTTTAATTACATTAATCATGTTACACTGCATTTGAGTCATTGACAGTTCCTACAGCCTTTACTTCAGAGAGGAATGAGGGCACTCAGCACCTTTCGAGAGTGAGTCTTCAAGGTGGAACAAGATCTAAGGCTAGTTATTAACTGTTGACATGCCTGAGCACTCAGCACACCTTCAGAAACGCTCTCCTTTGCAAGCTGTGCACGCACTTTCCAAATATTCATAACTAGGTTCATGTTCAGCCAGCTTTGTCTCTTTCTCCTTATGCATTATTCTCTAAGCAAGTCCAAAGTTCAGGTTTTTAAACTACAGCTCTAACTAAATCTTTTGGGTTTGTTTACAAGGTAGTTTTCATCATAAAATAAAACTTAGAAACAATGGGAGAGATTCTGCTAAGTGCCTCAAGAGCTGAATTCACGTGCAGGTGAAAAGCAAGCATGAAGATTTTGATTCAGAAGCGTGCAAACAAGACTTGCAGCTGTAAATATTTTGCTGTTTTGGTTAGTGTTTGGTGTGAATGTAACAGAATTGCCAAGGCTTGCGGCTTGCGTTAGCTGGATGACTGCATTTGTTGGAAGTGTATTTAATAAATAGCTTGATGAAGAGTAATATATAATAGCAACTTGATTCAGCGAGGTGAAAAGCACTCCCGGGTGACCATTAGCTTTCACGCAGTCCTACGTATCATTATATGCGTTGCAGGATCCTTAAGTGCTTTGCCAGATCAGGCTCCAGCAGCAGAGGTGTGCACAAGTAAGGCTTTCACATTTGTTTCTTGCCTTCAGAACCTCAGCTTCCAAAGAAGGGAAATATTTTTATGCTACAAATACAATTCCTCTCCAAAGCGTGTTATTTGGAAAAACTGCAGCGCTGCTAGGGTTTGTCTTTGGGGACAGCAGATATTAAGCTACTGTCATATTTTTCCTTGTCTCTGTACTACAAAGCAAATGATGAATGAAAATGGATAAATCTAGGATATAATTCAGAAAGTCGTGATGTCTTTTCAAGTGCATGTGAGGCCATCCCAGCTCAGTAGATTGTTATTCTGAGTAGTTCTGAATTGTTTCCTTCTGACAAGCTAGAACTCATTTTTAAGCTAAAAATAGAGCATGTGTGAATAAGCAAGTCCAGTAATGCCTGGAAACTGTGACAGCAAAGAATTTTCAGCTCTTCAGAGTTCAAGACTTTTATTTTTTTTCATAAGGAAGAAAAAACCCAACCCCAAATCCTGTTTTATGTGTTGTCCTGGCAACTCCGTTCCTTTTGCACATTCCAGTTGCCAGAGAGAATTGATTTTGAACATTCCTGATTTCAGCTCCTCTGAATAAAGCATCTGGCCCAGTGGGGAGGCCAGCACTCTCGGTGTGGTAACGATCCAATCATTAGTTGACCGTGAATCCCCAGCGCCCACCCTTCAGTGGCCAGGCTGAGGTTTTGCCAGGAAACTGCTCGGAGTTTCCTTCTTGGGAGCGACTTGTTGGCATTACGCCCTGCAGTCCTCTCTGCTAACTAAAAGCAGCCGACATCTTTGGCTGAGGAAACATTGGCTCACTGGGAGGGTTGTTGCTTCTCGAGCAGAGCGAGTAAGCTAATGCCAAGAAATGAGTTAGAGAAGTCAAAAATCAGCGCTGCTTTCATGTAGTGTCTTGAAGCAATGTCCGTAGCGTGACAGACTCATGGTTTCCTGGGTTTTTCCCCCAACAGAGCTTATCATGAAAACACCAACGCCGCGCCCCCGGCTGAAGACCACGACCGAGGCCCCACGGGGAGTAGGGCCAGACCCCAAAACCCCCCGCACGCCGTCTGTGGACTGGGTGGGCC